TACCGGAATTAATTAATAATTTTAGAACAAGCAAAAACTTTTATGAAGAATACCATATCTTAAACAGTAAAATTTTTCTTCTTGTAAAAACAATCTGGGGACATCAGTATACCTAATTAATAAACATGAAGTTAATTTTTATAAATATTATTTTAATTTTAATACATATTATTTTATTTGCCAGGTATTTATCAGTCTTTGCACACTGGCAATAGCCTTTGCTAAACCTGGTGGCTATAAATATGGTGGTGGTATTGCTACCGGTGCCATAGCAACTCCAGGCATTTCAACAGGAGCCGTACTAGCTCCAGCAATTGAAACAGGTGATTACGTTTATTTAATAATTGAAAATAGTTAGTAAAAAATCAATGAATAAAACATAACACCCTAAAACGCTTATATAAATTCTGAATGTTTGTCAAAAACAATAATATACAATGCCAGTAAAAGAATATTTTTTATTTCTTAAATAAAGTCATTAGCGTAGAATCCAAACAGAAACCAGATTGTCAATGACCGTGGATTATCTTCTGTAAATATTGAATAGCCGATATATGTATCTAATAATAAAATAAGTTATACCGTACTGCTAGTTAGGCTAATTGTAAATTAACCTACAATGCTACAAATAAAAAATAATTGGAAATATACCGGGTGCGTCTGAAAAGTGGTAACCCCTATAACTTTTTTATTCTTCCAGATAAAAAATCGAAATTTTGAATGTTAGTATATGACATAATTTAAAACTGACTTATTCAATTGTTTTCGGTGATTTCTTATTTCACCGGGAATGACTACAACTTTTGATTTTTAAATGACACCCTGTATTTTGTTACTTTATTCCATAGAAAATGACACTCTTTTTTTTTTTCAATTCATAAATACTTTATTGTTAAAAAATATATAAATTTTTGTTAACAAAGCATAATATTCCTAAATCTAAACCTAAAACATTGCCAGCAATCTTAACATTAAAAAACAGTTTTATGAAAAGTAAACAAGTGCGTGTAAATATAAAAACAAAAAACAAAAAATTTGTGTAAATATAAGATGGTTTCAACAATCAGCAAAACAGGTTTAAACAACTAAGTAAAATAACATACAATATACAGAACAAATATAAGATAAAAAAATTCTAAATTCTAAACACTAATATCAAGGGTGTCCCGGTAGAATTCGTCAACGCTGTAAAATGCCCTACTTAAAAGTTCTTTTTTCAGTAGTCTCCGGAAGGTTTTTATGGAATTAACCAATCTTAAAGCAACCGGCAGATGATTAAAGACCTTTCGGCCCTCATATATTATAGATCTTTTGACCAAGGTGCTATTTGGAAGTGGCAAGGGCAGATTCAGGGTTTGGCGGGTAATAATATTGGGTACCTCATATATTATAGATCTTTTGACCAAGGTGCTATTTGGAAGTGGCAAGGGCAGATTCAGGGTTTGGTGGGTAACAATATTGGGTATAGGACCCTGCAGTCTGTTACGATTTTTAAAAATAAGGGATGATGTTTCCAGAATAAAAAGAGATGGTAGAGTAAGAATTTTTTGAACTTTGAAGTGTTGTCTACAGGATTCGTTATGTGGTACATTTACAATAAATCGTACGGCCTTTTTTCGTAAAATAAAAAGAATGTTTAGTAGACCCTGATTAGCCACACCCCAGAATGGTATTCCATGCCGGAGATGAGACTCAAACAAACTAAAATAGACCGTCCTTGCCACTTGTGAACCCAGTTCTTCCCTAATTGCCCTAACAGCAAAGCATCCAGAAGACAACTTGCCACTTAAGGCCAGAATATGGTCTTCAAATCGCAGATTTCCATCAATAATAATTCCCAGGAATCTAGTCGCAGGAATTCCTGTAAGCAAACCCCCCTCGAAATGGAGATTTGCGATGTCACATCTAAGCCCAACAACATGTGTCTTGGTAAATTTAAACAAAGGTGATTTGAGTTAAACCACTCTTTAATGAAGGATAAGTCCTTGCTTATGATTCCCTTAAGATGCTCAATGTCCTTGGCCTGCCATAGTATTGAAGTGTCATCTGCAAAGAGTGTGAAATGTCCAGAGATGTGCAGTTCTGTCAAATCGTTAATATACAATAAGAATAAAATAGGCCCCAAAACAGAGCCCTGTGGTACACCGCAACAGACACTTAACGGCGAGGATTTTTTTCCCGAGCACATGACACACTGATATCTGCCCTCAAGATATGATCTAAACCAGGCCAGAGCACGTCCACGGAAACCATACTTCTCGAGCTTCAGTAAGAGAATTTCGTGATCCGCGCAATCAAAAGCCTTGCATAGATCACAGAACACAGCCGCCATTACTCCCCCCTGAATCAGCCCAACATAGACTTCCTCAAGGAAACTGCAGACAGCATCGTGTGTGCTCTTGGCCTCCCGGAATAGTTACACATCCTATTTTTTAGTAACTTGTCAATGACCTTGGACAGAGTGGGAAGTAAAGAAATTGGGCGAAAGTTAGAAGGCTCCTTAGTATCGCCTCCCTTGAAGAGAGAAACCACTGTTGAAGATTTTAGGTAGGCAGGAAAAACTCCCTGCTGCCAGGACTCGTTTATGCAGTTGGATAAGGCTTCTAAGGCTTTATCCGGTAGCTTTAACAGTACTTCAGCAGATATGTCATCATCTCCACTGGATTTCTTATTTTTTATTTCAGCAATAACTTTTTTTATTTCGAACTTATCTGTATTAAAAAAACAAAATGAATTTTGATAATTAAAATTACTTAGGTAAGACAGAGGGTTAGACTTAGAGGATAAATTCTTGGTCAGGTCACCCGCCATGTTGCAGTAAAACCGGTTAAGGTGATCAGGGTCTATCTCAGACTTGACACTAGGTGATTTTTTGCGAAAATCACTAATTATAGCCCAACATTCTTTTTGTTTGTTTTTGGCCTTGTTAAGTCTATTTTTATAGTACATATTTTTAGCAACCCTGATAAGTTTTCTATACAAACTACGATACTTATTAACAAAGGTTATGAATTTAGGGTCATTGCTATATTTTTTTAGATAGTTTAAAGATCGAAGGTTAGTAGCCGAAATCCTTAGACCTTTTTAGTAAGCCAACGATTGCATTCTTTATTTTTTTTCTTCTTAATCAAGCGCACGGGAAAAGCCCGGTCAAATATAAGGGATAACATTTTGTGAAAACTGCCAATTGGGTTAGACAGAATTTGGGTGACTGGTCAGACAGAGAAAACACTCTGAATAGAATGACATATTTTATGTCAACTTTTGACATTTTCGAATATGGTTTATTTGAAATTGCAACAACATGCAATTCATAACGATAATTTGATTCGAAATACCAAGTGTGTGGTATCAAATTATTCATAAAAAATGCTTTTTCCAAATATGGTGATGAGCCACTCTCGTTCCATTTGAAAAAATTGAGATATGATTAAAAATACGATATGGACATCTTTTAACCGGGCAATACAAGACACTAAAAACATTAAACGATCAAATCTAATTTTCCAAGGCTCCTTGATTAAAAATTAGTGTTTTTAACGCATCTATGGCACTCTAGATTCAAATTTAAAATACAATTTTGTTTTAAGCGAAAATGTCAAAAGTTGACATATATTATGTTAATGTATTCAGAGTATCATTTTCTATTGAATAAAGTAAAATAATACCGAGGGTGCCATTTAAAAATGAAAAGTTGTAGTCATTTCCGGTAAGACAAGAAGTGTCCAAAAAGAATTGAATACGTCAATCAATCCTAATTTATGCCATGTATTAACATACCAAATCTAGTTTTTTTATCCGAAAAAATAAAAAAGTTTTAGGAGTGAGCCACTATAGAGACGCATCCGGTATTTCCTCTCGTCAAGTGGTTTTATGATCACGGAGAGATATACTCCAGAAACGTAAAGCATTTATTATTTTTACACTGGACGCGTGTTTCGCTAACCATGTTTGCATCATCAGCAGATGATTAAAAACTAAACTGCAGTTGTGTTTTATTTTGCTGTGTAACACTAAAGGTTCTAACCTCCAACTGTAATAATTTATTATTGGTTAGGCAAGTTTGTTTATTAGTACAAAGCCACGGACAAGCTGATTTTCGTTTGAATTCTACGTAGTGGAATTTTACAAAAAAACTTTTTTATTTTTGTATTTTAACCATGTTACAATCGTTTAACATAATTCTAACATGGTTAGTTACGTGTGTCTAGAAATTATTTAGTTTTTTCTTTTTATATGATTGATTTGTGGAATTTTCTCTTCTAACGCCAAAGATTGCATCATACACCGTACTTTTAATAAGTTACTAGTGAAAATCATTTTTTAGGAGCTATATATGCTGCTCCTCAAGCTACTGGTACTATCGCAGCCGCTCCTGTAGCCGCCGGAACAATCGCTACTGCTCCTGCCGCTGCTGGAACCATCGCTACCGCACCTGTAGCTGCCGGAAGCATTGCTACAGCTCCTGTAGTTGCGGGAAGCATTGCTACAGCTCCTGTAGCTGCCGGAAGCATTGCTACAGCTCCTATAGCTGCAGGAACCATTGCCACCGCACCAATCGCTGCTGGAAGCATTGCAACTGCTCCTATTGCTGCCGGCTCAATATATGCTGCTCCAGTTGCAGCTGGAACCATTGCTACAGCACCTGTAGCAGCTGGTAGCATTGCCGCAGGTCCCGTTGCCTCAGGTATCATAACAACTGGTGGTGGATCTCCTGGATATGTAGCTGCCGGTCCTGAAGCCCCTGGATATGTAGCTGTAGGTCCAGAGTCTCCAGGATATGTAGCTGTAGGTCCAGAGTCCCCTGGATATGTAGCTGTAGGCCTTGAATCTCCCGGATATGTAGCTGTAGGCCCTGAATCTCCTGGATATGTAGCTGTGGCACCAGAAGCACCGGGATATGTAGCCGTAGCTCCGGAAGCACCCGGTTATGTAGCTGTTGGTCTTGAATCCCCAGGATACGTAGCTGAGAGTTTACCTGCTCCTGGATACGTTGCTGCTGCTCTACCAGTTGCTGCTCCTGTTATTGCTCCAGCTGTACCTGCTCTTAGTGCTGGTAAGAAGTTAACATATAATGAGAAAATATATTTTTTGTTTTTACTAAAGGCCAGTTTTTCGAGCAGATTCTCTAGGTTCGGGTTAATTTTTAGGTAGTAGTAAATCAGAGATTTCCTATCAAAGTGTTTTTATGGGGTGCGATTTGCGATAAACCACAATCTAAAATTTAAATATGGTAAAAAATACAGGGTGGTCCGAACTGTGTTCCCGAAACTTCGGCAGCATATTCTGCAAATAAAAAAAAGTCCGTAAAGGTATGTCCTAAAATGCTTAGTTTCGGAGATACAGGGTGTAGAAGTTTCATTTTTATTTCGATTTTTTCCAAATCATTTCTGAAGTAACGTCAATATTTGGATGAAAATTGGTGCCTGGGAATTTTTTGACATGAGAAATTTGATTTTGATGTCAATATGACTTCTACTTGTAGAGGGCGCTACCTACATATTTTTTAACTGGTTTGAAGAGTAATAACTTTTCGTCCGTACCTGTATAAAACTACTGCGTAAAAAGTGTACATTTACGACTTTTTTTACGTAAAAAAAGGTCTCTTGGTAAAGATCGCTACGAGTAATGATTCTCGAGATATTTGGAATAGAAATTATCAATACCTGTCATCATTTATATAAATTAAACATGTTGACCAAATAGTTATTAAACTAAAATCATAAATTTGAAATATTTTTGTGTCGAAAATTCAACAGGAACTGTTTTATCATCATTTTTTTGAAGAAAAATTTATGATTAATTTAAAAAAAATAAAGAATTTCCAAATTTATCATTTCAGTCAAATAACTGTATTTCATAATAACATGTTAATTTTTTTTTATACCTATATTGATTATTTCAATTCTAAATATCTTTAGAACGGTTGCTCGTAGCGATTTTTACCAAGAGACATTTTTTACGTAAAAAATCACAGAAATGTATATTTTTCCACTCATTAGTTTTATACAGGTACGGACGAAAAGTTATTACTTTTCAAAACAGTTAAAACACATGTATGTGGCGCCCCTTAGAAATAGGAGTCATATTGATCTCAAAATCAAATTTCTCATGTCAAAAAACTTCCAGACACCAATTTTCATCTAAATATTGACATTACTTCAGAAATTATTTGGAAAAAATCGAAATAAAAATAAAACTTCTACACCCTGTATCTCCGAAACTAAGCATTTTATAGGACATACATTTATACGAACTTTTTGACTTATATTTTTATTTGCAGAATATGCTGCCGAAGTTTCCGGAATACAGATCGGACCACCCTGTATAACTGATTGATAGGATCAGGTTAAATAACAATCTGATTATTGCTTTGTTTATTTCATTAATTTAATTTTGATTTATTGACATAGAGATACTACCATGCGTTCGAAAAAAAAACGACGTTAAAGACGGCTGCGGAATGAACATCGATGCTAATTTTGGCGAGGTCAAGCCCTAGACGTCATTACTTGGCTCGTACTTTTCTTTATTTTTTAATGGCGCTTACTGCCAATTGGTCTTAAGAAGGTTTGTAATTTATTTTAATATTGAATAAAAATTATTTTTAAACGATGTAGTTTAAATTCGAGAAAAAATATTTTTTTGGAAACAGATTTGTGTGTCTTTGAAGTTCTATTTTTTTTAGTCTTCCTGTAATTATTGTTACGGCGTCCAGAGATTGTCCTCGCCAAAATTATCATTGATTGTTATTTCTTTGACACCGTTTTTTTTGAAGTGTTTGATGAATTATTTTAACTTTTCACACGTTAACTTAAAAACAATACCATATACGCCACCAATAATCTTAGTGCAAATAGTATTGATACTAAATAAGAAAAAATAAAAGAATCTTCACGAGAATGTATTGATATATCAGTCTCCTAAGCCCAGATAACCATATTATATGTTATCTGTGTCCTAAGTTACCCTAGAGTTATTTAACTGATATACAGGGTGAGTCTTAAATAAGTGCAAATATTTTCAGAGCTTGGAGATCTCGATAAAAAAAAACATATTTTCCCTTTAGCGTTTTTCAAATAAATCTAAAATAACCGAGATATTTTACTTTAAAAATTTCCAAAACAATGATTTTTTGCTAGAATTTTGAGAACCACTGGATCTTTTCTGGATTTTTTTTCTTGTAAATTTAATGTACTACCTGTGTTGCCATATTATCAACAAATTATATTTTTTAACTAAACACTAAAAAAGATTTCAAAAAAATTTTCATAAAATACATAATTCTTAATTTTCAAAAAAAAATTTCGCGTGAAGGACAAAATTTTTGCACTTATTTAAGACTCACCCTGTATATATCAAATTAAATTAAACGAAAAAATATCCGGTTAAAACTAAAGTTAAAATTTTATAGATTAATGTTAATTTTAACCGGAAGGTACAAATCTGAGCTTAATTCTATGTTAATTTTTTAGGTGTTGTTACTGCTGGTGGTGGTACTATTGGCGTCAGTGGTTACGGGGCAGTTGTTAAGGGACCACCAACCATTCCAATTGCTGTCGCTGGACCAGCTGGTGCTGTCAAAGCCGAAGGACTTTATGGACCAGGACCTATTAAAGCTTATAAATACTAGTTCCAATTTTATTATGAATAAATTATGTTATTTAAAGCAAAACATGTGCGTTTTATTTTATGTTCGATAATATTCATGAAATCAGAAGTTTTTTTGAGATTTTCATTGTTATTTTTTAAAAAACGTGTGGAGAATAATAGGTAGCGCATATTTTAAAAGAATTGGCCTTTTCCGAAATCAAACTGTCGAGATTATAGAATTCCGCTACATATTCCAATAGTCCTTCTCCGATTTTTATAGCATTGTTGTGATCTTCCGGGGGAGTGCACATGATTTTAGTTTTGTCGATGTTCAGCTTATGGCCCAAAGCCTCATTTGCCAGCGTTCAACATTTCATGTAATTGCTGTAACGTTTTTGCAGTTAGGGCTCAATTATCAGCGTATTCTGTGATGAATTTTGTACGTGTTTTGCCCTGAGTCTTTTTATGTTGAAAAGGATTGTAGTAAAAATCTCAAATAAGAAACCTGATTTTCGGAACAATGGATTACCCTGTATATTCCTGTAGATTCCATAATGAAAAACAAAATATAAAAATGTTTTAACATTTTTTAATTCTTATATTTATATACATATCACAACAAAATACAATACTATTCTTTCCAAAGTTAACTTAAAATGCTTCTTCACCAAGATATTGTTCTTTAATATAAAGAACAGCTCTCTCTGCGATAGCCACGATTACAGCCTGGATATTTCCAGATGTCAATTCTACTATAGCCGATGCATCAGTGATCCTGATATTGGGAATACCATGTAATTGTAACTTTTGGTTGACGCAACTGTTAACATCGGATTCCAGGCCGATTTTACAAGAAGCAGCCTGGTGGTTTTCGGGGTAGGTGTCATATTTGATGGCGCACTCCCAGAATTCGTCAGTGTCAAACCTGAAAAATAGGATTCTTTACATTTTTGTTTTATACATAATTTACTTTAGTTTATTGTACAGGGTGGGTCAAATTCGACGCTTTTAAATGGAAACATCCTTCTCTGTAGGAGATAAACAAAAACTGATATCGGTGTCTGGAGCTCAATTTTTGTCAAAAACAAGATGGTAAAAACCGCACATCAGTATCTGTTACTGTTTCGAAGTTACGGGGTGTTTTTCAAAAATGTGCATTTTTAACAAATCGCTGTAACTTTTTTTGCTATGGAAAATTTTGTATTTTTATGAAAACATTTCCAAAGCACATTTTTACTTAGAACTTAATGGTTTAAGTATAATTTTTTTAAAATTAATAATTTAAGAATTATCAACAGAAAATTTGATTTTTTATATGGGACACTCTGTATATTTTTAATTTACTGAAAATAATTTAAAATTACCTTTCCAAAAATATAACACACTTGATATTTTGCTCGTTTCCTCTTCGAGATATCGAGTATACAAAAATTCGCACGCTTTAAATAAGTAGGCTTTGAACGGCACCGGCTGTAATGCAAAAAAATTCTAGCTGTGACCATTAATTAAAACGAAAATAATATTTGCTATGAGAGATGCAGAATTTTATAACAATTTAAAATATATTTAACCAACATCAACACATTTAATCTACAGGGTGTTTCAAAACAAATGCGAAAAACTTCAGGGGGTGATTCCTTGTTCAAAATAAAGGGTAGTTTGCTTCATAAACGTTGGGTCAAAAGTCAACCATTAGGGAGATATCGCGGTACAAAGATGGCGGAAAAATAATGTTATTAATTTTTTATCTTGAAAACGAAAAGAGATAGACTAATGAAATTTTATGGAAGCATTACTGTTATGAAACACATTTTCTGGTAATTTTTTCACTTTTTTAAAATGAGTGGAAATAAACTACCCCTATCATTCTTGTTAACGCAAATTTAAAGAAAAATCTTATCAAAACACATGCAAAAAAAAAAATAATTTGGATAGTTTAGTTTGTTTTAGAAACTTTTTTATCTCTTGTATTTTTTTTATAAAACTCACCGATTTGAAATTAAAAAATAAAATGTAAAGCATTACATGTCAGGACTAAAAATATTTTTAGATTAAGAATCTAGTGATAATAATGATAAATAATAATAATCTAGATAATAACGTATTGCAGTAAGGTAATGGTCAAATAAAACAATAATTGAAACATCCTAAAAAGTGACAGCGGCCGACTAGATTTTTTCCTAAAAAAATTACAGCTGCCCACTAGATTCTTTATCTAAAAATGTTTTTTGTCCTGACATGTAATGCTTTACATTTTATTTTTTAATTTCAAATCGGTGAGTTTTATCAAAAAAATACAAGAGATAAAAAAGTTTCTAAATAAACTAAACTATCAAAATTAATTTTTTTTGCATGTGTTTGATAAGATTTTTCTTTAAATTTCATTAACAAGAATGATAAGGGTAGTTTATTTCAACTCCTTCCACTCATTTTAAAAAAGTGAAAAAATTACCAGAAAGTGTGTTTTTATAACAGTAATGCTTCCGTAAAATTTCATTAGTCTATCTCTTTTCGTTTTCAAGATAAAAAATAAAAACATTATTTTTCCGCCATCTTTGTACCGCGATATCTCCCTAATGGTTGACTTTTGACCCAACGTTTATAAAGCAAACTACCCTTTATTTTGAACAAGGAATCACCCCCTGAAGTTTTTCGCATTTGTTTTGAAACACCCTGTGTATCTAATAACAATAAAAATAAATAGCAAACCAAGACATGAGATTTTGCTACAGGTGTTCGACATATCGACCGTCTTCTGTTATGGACAGACGGGGCAGTTTTTGAACATTTCTCGCGGAATTCATTAACTCGGTGGGGGTGAAAGATACCCTCTTATAACTGCTAAGTATTTCTAATTCTTGTCTAGATTATACGGCGGAATAAGGAACCTTTTATTCTTCCGCAGATATATTCATAGGATTAGATCCATGGGCACTAAGTCAGGCGGCCTCGACGGCCAACGGCTGGGATCTTGGTTAGATATTAAATTATTTTTGAAATTGGCTGCAAAAATTTGCTGATAACTTCAGCGTTCAGAGGCAGTGCGTCGTCTTGCTGGAAAAATATGTTTTCGAGTTCCATTAAGGGCATATCATCAATAAGGGGTCCAAAGCCTCTACTAGTTAAAAGTGGCGAATTTTTAAAAATTCTGTATTTCGAAGGGGATTATAACAAAATATCAAGTGTGCTATATTCTTGGAAAGGTAATTTTAAATTCTTTTCAGTTAATTAAAAATATAGAGGGTGTCCCAAATAAAAATTCAATTTTTCTGTTGATAACTTTTAAATTATTAATTTAAAAAAAAATATACTTAAACCATTAAATTCTACGTAAAAAGGTGCTTTGGAAATGTTTTCATAGAAATACAAAATTTTCCATAGGAAAAAAGTTACAGCGATTTGTTAAAAATGCACATTTTTGAAAAACACCCCGTAACTCCGAAACGGTAACAGATACTGATGTGCGGTTTTCACCATCGTGTTTTTGATGAAAATTGAGCTCCAGACACCGATATTAGTTTTTGTCTATCTCCTATAGAAAAGGGTGTTTCCATTTAAAAGCGTCGAATTTGACCCACCCTGCACAGGGTGGCGCCTCTCATACGCCGCGGAAGCTCCAAGGAGAACGGTAGTTTATATCGAAATGAAGTTTTGTCAGCATATGTGGGTTAACTGAAAGCATTTTATAAAAATATATAGAACTATACAGGGTGTACCCAAAAAAAGTTACACATCAAAGTTTTGTTTTTCTAATGGAACACCCTATATATTAATTGATTTTCGGATTCTCGGAAAAAAATAAAGGTGAGTTTTATTAAAGAAGCATATACCTAAAATCTAAGGATTTTGACATAATTCATATTTTGTGAAAATGAAGAGTAAATTTTAAATTTTGATAATAGCTACCTAAATTTTAGTTGACCTTGTATAGCCTGATATTTAATTACAGTAACCATTGTATGTTAAACCAAATTGAAATTTGACCCAAAAAGTTATACAGGGTGAGCCAAAAATAATATGGAACATTAAGGCCGTGACACACGAGACGCGAGAGGAAAAGTGGTAACGATCTCGGGCACTATGTGAGCTAGGGGGCTGAAACTCGGAATGTAGATGGGACTCTAAGAGCCCCATATTTTCATCATATTTTGACGACGTTTCCAGCGCTACGCAACCCCATCATCAATGATTCATATCAAAAAATCGTTCAAGTTAAATGAAATTTAGTATGTAGATAGATTGGACCAAGACCAACTTAACCTTCTACGGCACGTGTCACTGTGACAATTAGTTTTGACGTAAGAAACGTCAAAAGTTGATGTCGGATGTGACCAAATTTGGTGGGTAGGCTATGTGAGCGACGGTGCACACAGTCCCACCCTGCAATGTTTGATACGACCGTTGATTGAAAGAATTGGGACGATACGACGTTTCGTTTATATCTTCATCAGGATGGGACTAGCGATGTGATATTGAAGAAAAATGTGGGTCGATTTTGGCATAATTGGGGACTGGTTACAGGATGACGCCCTCGACGTTTTGAACGATGCCTTGGACGAAATCATCAGAATTTTTCTTAATTATGGGTCGATTGGAATAAAACACGGCACGTGGATAGATGTATCCGAATGGAGTCCTCAGACGGACAGACGGGCAGACAGACTTTCTAAGAAGAAGAAGTTTCACTTCAAATATGTGCAAATAGTACACACACAATTTTTTTATGTTTATTGCGTTTATTTGTGCATTTATTATTTGCAATTGGTGCATTAAAATTGAGTTATACTTACTCATATTGAGTGGCGCAATCTCCATAACTGTACTTTTGGAAAGTAACATTGTATTTTTCTATTAAAATGGGAGCTTGTATCAACTGTTGGGTATATCTGATACCGCTGATGATGACTTTAATGTCATCTGGATGCGAGAAGTAATTGGCAACGATCTTAGGCTTATCAAATGGATTGCTGGATGCTAAAGTGATGTTTCTGAAACAAAGAGAAATGATAAAATTACATAAATGAATATAATTGTTACAAAAACTTGGCGATCGTACGGTATAATGTTATTTATAAAAAAATAATTCTAACTACTATTTTGGTTAGTAACCACCAGTAACCAGTAAATCTAAACAGTGCACTTAAAAATGTACACATGTACACTTATGTATTTTAATAAGTAGAATATGATACGGTCATTATAAATGTCAATATGAATCTGATTAGATATCAATTTATAAGAAAGTTGATCAATAGGTGCTTTCATAGACACTAACTAAAACAACTAACTTGGTTTTACATGAAATGAAGTGAAAGTGGAAGAACTCCGTTGTGCGACAATGACGTTTTTTTAGAATTTATGTTTTTGATGGATCGATTTTTAAAAAGGCACTTACCCACTGCTTTTTGGATGCAAATTAACAGATGAAACGCCGATGCTACGAGTATCGTTGGGTTCAGTTGGATCAACTGGAGATTCTGGCTCGCCAGAGTAGGCACAGGTGTTATCATATCCGCTAAAGAACAGTTGAATGTCTGGATCATCTGCTGTAGTATAGTTGCTAGCAATTCTGGCAGTAAGCTGCACAAACAAGAAAAAAATAATTTAAGATTTATTTACTGTCCAATAATAAATCTCCATAAAAATGTTTTGTTAGATTAGATACAGAATTTTTTTTTTTTTGTTTTTCTCACATATGCCGTATCTAATAATAGTTTTAATAGCAGCAGACGTTCTATAGCTTTACTCTTTGATAGCCTTTCTATCTTTGTTTATCAATAGTCGCAGAAAATTTTGCAATACTTTCTCACAAAGTGGATCCTAAATACTTTTTGCATCTTTGCATCGGTCTTTATTATGATTTAACACGTAATTATTTTCTTTATTATGATTTAACATGATTTATTGGACAGAAAAACTAGTGCAGAACTAAACCAGAAGAATTATTTTGAGTTACGTCATATTGCAACAAAACATTTGGGTGACCAAAGTGATGTAAAAGATGTCTCATAGAAAAATGATATTTTTTAAAAATTATTGAGTGTTAATTAGGACATTATACATATTTTTGAATAATTTTAAACTAATAAACTGCAAACTTTTTAGAATAGTGAAGAATATTGTATATCACCTGAGACATTCCTGTAGAACTAAGTGGTCCATTCTCAGACTGTAAATACTGATTCAGAGTATCAATGTTCAAATCCACATAGTTGATTGGATTGATTTTGACAACGGTGGAAAAAGATACATGATTTTTAATTCCTGAAATCAGAAATATTTTGATCCACTTAAAATTAATACTGTTAAAAGTAAAAGTATTATTGGTTTAGGATATTTTTATAAGAAATTTACCTTTACCAACAGCAGTTAAATTATGAACTTGTTCAATACCAACTTCGTCAAGTACATCTTTGTCACCGATTCCGGACAGCAGAAGGATTTGTGGAGTGTTTATAGCTCCTAAAATACATAAAACAATTAGAAAATGTATTAAGCAAATAATTTTAAATAGTGCAGCGTTTTTTAGAATAATTATTATATATATTAGAATTTTAAATTAGGGTGTACGTGCATATGTGCATCTATTGAGGAACCACCAATGGTTTTATTAGAAATATTATTAAACTTAACTGATCAATTTGAAGTAAATTAATATTATAATTAACATTATTATATTAATATGTTTTTTACCTGCAGCTAGAATAACTTCCTTGGAGACATTGACAGTGTAGGTATGGTTGTTGTACACAAATTCAACTGCAGTTGCTCTCTTTGTACCATTCACTTCGCCAATTATAATCTTGGTAACAGTAGAATTGAGCATCACGTGGAAGTTCGGGTCATTTTTATGTGGCCTTACAAATGCTTTCGACAAGCTAAGACGTGCACCATTTCTAAATCAAGAATTATGATCTAATTATAATAAATAATGCTGAATTTTATACAACCAAACTCATCAGTTTAACTTCAAAGAAATCAACCGTTTAATGAGATGTTTGTATTATATCCAGAATTTCGAAAGGAATACTGTAAAAATTAACTGTCTCCAAATCTGAACTGACTCTAAAGCTGCGTTCACATTGCTCGCGATCCTGCTCGCGCTCTTGCTTCTGATTGTGTTTGCGTTGCTTGCGCCTTACGCTTCCTGTTTGTCGTGTTTCTCAAGATCTTTCGGCTCGCAAACAACGGCGTCCACATTGTAACTTTACCAACTTTTTACAAAAACTGTTACTGTTCGTGCTGTTCAGAGATGGAAGAGTATTTTTACTAGCGGCTGCTAGTGCTATCATTATTGCAAAACGAAGGAGACAAAGAGAAAAAAGGCGGTGTTGGATGTTTAATAATTTCAAAAGTAGATCCCAGCACAGTGAAAGTAAACTTCTACACGATTTACAAACAGACAGAATGTTTTTTATTATTTTTTATCGCATATTGGGTGCTACTGATTTTGAAAAAGACTTATAGAAGGAAAAAAATACAACTTTTAGGAAGTGAATTCCGGTTAAAAAAAGAGTTAAAGAAAGATTGGCCATAACATTAAGATTCCTTGCAACTGGAGACTCACATACCAGCTTGGATTATTTATTCAAAGTTTCCAAGAAAGCATTTCAAAAATAGTATCAGGCGTATGCCAAAATATAAATAAAATTCCCAAAGATCAGATTAAGATAAGTAGGCAATATAAATATAAAGTTATATTTTATTAAATGTATATTTAATATTATTAATCCAAGAACAAAACAAAAAATAATGAAAAATAATCCTGAACAATAAAAATAAGAAAAATTATGGTAGCACCATCATACTGCAGTAAATACCGAATCCTATGAATGAAACCAAACTAAAAACTAAACAAACAACGCAAACAGCTCGAGAGCTTCGAACCGCCGCGGCCGCGCCGCACGGTGGAAAGACCCAATATAAAATGTTGGACATTGACTTAAAAATAAAATTTTAAATTAAATAATTTTGGTAGAAGATTTGAATTACTTAAAGTCCAGACCGTTATATTTTATCCAACTCAAAAAAATATTTTTAATTATATGTCTGTTTGAAAAGTTTCAAATGAAGATATTACACTGACTTAATTATGGTATTCATTTCTTGTGAAACAACCTAGTTTTATAAAAAACTGGCAAAGACATTATTAATAATTTTTAACCATACATATTAGTGCAAACGATTGTTTTCACCTTAAAATAAAAAGATATATATAGTCACAAAAGTTTGGGAGAACAATTGTACATAAGAGACACATAATCATTTTTTTGCTGCTAAATACTATATTTAGTAGCAAAAAATGTATGTAGAAAAAAAAAAAATGGCTAAAGTTGGCCAAGACTTTAAATATATCACAAGATAGATTAAGCCTTTCTAATAACGAAACTAATTTAACAACTTGCCCCAGCTTGCCCCCTCTAAAAATTTCCATTTAATATATTACTAATACATGTTATACTAAAATCAAAAACCTTTTCAATTCCAATAAATTAATTTAAAATTTTTAGAGTCAAATTATCTTTATTTTTTATAAATTTATTAATATTTAATTATTAATTGGATAAATACAAAATGACGCTGAAATCAAAAACAGATACAGGGTGCTACAAATATATGGAAAACTTATAAACTATTGGAAAAAGAAAGAGGGTTAAAGTGCAGTGTTGAGGTTTTTTGTTTGTAATAAAAATATTCTAGTGCGTTGATTTACTGTTATATTCTTTGCTTATAATAAAGTTATTGTACAGGGTGTCCCACTAAGAATAGCTCTCGGCTATACCTCGAAAAGTATTAGCCGTGAGGCTTGCGGAAAAAATATTCATAACTAAAGAGACCATGAGAAAATGCTGGAAATTATTTTCAAATTTGTAGAATGGCCACTAGAGGGCGCAACTGCTATAAAAAATAAGAAAATGGAGTTTTTACACAACTTTTCCTAGATAAGGGGTACTATAAATAATAGCTTCATAATCTTCAGTAAATTCTGAATATTTTTGTTAGAACCATTTTCCCTCTATCTGCTAAAAAAATAAAGTGGTGGGGGAAGGTTAGATCTGCTTTATTTAAATATTAATAATTCCGGACTGGATGGACGGAATCCAACTAACGGGGGCTCGTTTAAAAGACCGTTTCTTACTCTATATTATACCATATAAACAATAATAGTAAGCTTTTGAACGTAGATGCTAGGGGCGCTGTCTTACAAATTACGAAACATTGCGCGTTTTTTCAAAAAAATAAATGCGATGGTATATGTCATTTTAGCTGATAGTAAAGAGTAATGAAAGCTTAAAAGTCAGTGAAAACCTGCATCTTGATATCTTCTTTCAAATCGAAGATATTAGCAAAGTTATATTAAATAGGAAAATATATGTAAGCCCTTAATTACCATATTTTTATAACATTTATCAGTAGCCTTAGATTTCAGTGGTAAAATCTAAAGCTATTTCTTTTTAAAAGGATCAAAACTAAAACATTCCACGACAGTTTGGCAAAGTTTATAAGCATTTAAAACTTGTAAGATTTTTCCAAAACATACTATATTTTTAGGTCACCCTGTAGATGGTTTGTAATGAGCCAACCACTTTATTTCATTAAAATTTAAAATTGTTCTGTTTATACATTATTACGGTATATAAAAATCATTTTTTCGTCTTTTGGATTAAAAGTGTTGAGAAGAAAACCTCATGTCCAACAGCTCCCATAAGCTCGTTCCACTGTGCGCCGTAAAGTATGCTCACATGGCTTCGAAGCGTCCCTTTGATGTACCGCGACAGAGCCGAACAGACGAAACAGGCATTTTATGTGATCGCAAGCACGTGGAGCACCGCGAGCGTGGCGAGGGCTGCGAACATCTCGCCCCGACTGTTTGCCATGTTTTTCGTGTTTCACGTGTTCGTTCGGCCTGCTCGCGAGCAATGTGGACGCAGCTTAAGAAGTGTACGAACAAAAACAAGGCCGGAATCATTGAAACAAGAGAAAGGGTGCATCTATCAGGTAGCTTGTGAATGCGGTGAGTCGTATATTGGAGGGACTAAACGTCCTCTAAATGTACGACTTAGCGAGCACAAAAAAACATGTATAAAAAGGTGAACAATGAAGTTAGGTATTGCGGACCATGTTTGGTAAAAATAGCACAACATAAAGTGGTCGGAAGCTCGGGTTGTCCACAAGCAACCTCATTGGAGAAAGCGTAAATTTAAAGAAGCCGTTTATCAATAATAACATCTTTAGCAATCCTAGAACGGAAATATCTACGATATGGCAACCATTGATAAAACGCACCATTGCAGGCATTCTAAGTTCTTCACGGGTGAATACCTGGCTGTAAGTGATGCAGTGGTCCTTTGGGCCAAAACGTTGTGTTAACCAAAATAAATAAAGACAATGGAAGTTGATATATGTCAATTGAAATTCTTTTAGTTACATCTAAAGTTGTGTTTTACGATATAATATGAAATAAAATAAAATGTTTACCTGTTGTTAGTTTGGGCGATAGCAAATCCGACATAGTCTTGTCCATTTAGATCGTTTGTGACAGGAAAACCGGTTTGATTTGCAGCTGTCAAAATATCGTAAGCTAATTCGGGTGCGTCGTTGAATCTTTGGATTGTGAACGGACCGCCCGTACTGTGGTACTCTTCGGAGACTAAGGAACCTATTTGGGTGTTGTTTTCTGACAATTTAAAAACAGGAAGTAGCTTGTCGTAGCTCCATTCGGTATTACCAGCTGCAACCTGTAATCAAAAAGAATAATTAAATAAAAAGTACAACACGATCGAATAAAAACGGCATCAGCGATGGCTATGAAATTAAGATCGCTGTCATTTTGTATTATCAGTCTGTTTTACCAAACAAAGAGAGAGTACAAAAACACATCACAAACGTAGGATCAGAAGATATGCCAGAAATATCAACCACGGAAATTAAATACGCACTTCAACAAATAAAAAATGGCAAAAGCCCAGGAGAAGATCGTATTACACCTGAAATGCTGAAGATGGGCGGAAAACCATTAGTGGATGCCGTGGAAGTATTGTTAAATAAATGTCTGATGGAGGGTAGAATCACGGACGCATGGAAAAATGCAGAAGTTGTGCTATTATACAAAAAAGGAGATTTTACAAATATAGAGAATTATAGACCAATAAGCCTTCTCTCGCATCTATACAAGCTCTTCACTAGGATTATCAACAACCGACTACGAAACTAGATTCCTATCAGCCCATAAAACAGGCAGACTTTCGAAAAGGTTTTAGTACCATCTCGATCATCTACAAACAATTAAAACAGTCATTGAAAAAACAACAGAATACAATATACCTCTACATTTGGCCTTTGTAGACTACCAAAAAGCCTTTGATTGAGAATTGATTCCAGATATTATTCCATTATTAAAAATATCTATGATAGTGCAACCTTTCAAGTTAAATTAGATGATGACCTCAAAACAGAAAAAATACCACTCGGCAAGGGCGTGAGACAAGGAGATACCATCTCTCCCAAGTTATTTACACTGGCACTGGAAAATGTCTTCAAGAAATTAGAATGGGAAAATAGAGGTCTAAACATCGATGGGGTACACCTTAGCCATCTGAGGTTTGCAGACGATATTGTCTTTCTGAGCACCGACATTCAAGAACTGAACACCATGCTAAATGAGATAAATGACCAATCCCAGAAAATTGGCCTTAAAATAAACTTGAAGAAGACCAAGATAATGAGCAACAATATCCATAACATTACCGTTGACAACGTTATTATTGAAAACGTAGACCATTATATATATTTAAGGGCAAGGAAAACCAAAATACGGAGATCAAACGCAGGATCCATTTGGCATGGGTAGCATTTGGAAATATGAGGGATATTTTCAAGGATAAAAAGGTGCCCATGAGCCTAAAGAAAAAGGCTTACGACAGCTGCATTCTACCTGTGCTTACGTATGGCTTAGAGACTATGGGAATTACCCGAAAAACAGCAGAACAACTACGAGTAGCACAAAGAGCCATGGAAAGAATTATGTTGGGAGTCACCATTAGGGAAAAAATACGAAATACCCACATACGTCAAAAAACAAAATTAATAGATGTCGTTAAAAGAGTGGCAAGTCTGAAGTGGCAATGGATAGAACATGTGGCAAGACAGGATCCAGACCGATGGCCCCAAAAAGCAACCCTATGGAGACCAAAGGGAACAACAAGAAGTGTGGGCCGACCAAAAAAGAGATGGGTCGATGACGTCAGGGCAGTGGCAGGAAGACAATGGATAAGATTGGCTAGAGATCGCAGAGCATGGAAAAACCTAGAAGAGGCCTATATCCAACACTGGATGGAACCAGGCTGAGAAAGAAGAAAGAAGAAGAAGTAGTCATTTTGTATGTTATAATCCTTTGCCTAGCATGGATAGAAAAAGTAACAAACGAAGTTCTCAGGCGCATGAGGAAACAAAAAAATACTGTTTTTAACTGTAAAACATCGAAAAACAACCTATAACGGGTGCGTCTCTAAACTGGCCCACCCCTATAACTTTTTTATTTTTTCAGATAAAATAACGAGATTTGGTATATTAGTATATGACATAAATTAGAAATGATTGACGTATCCAGTTATTAATAACGGAGATTAAAAAATAACAAAATAAATAGTTCTTTTTTTATACTACAAAAATAAACTATAGAATACAACAGTATTTAAAAAAATAAATAAAAAGTGATGTTCCGGCCGAGATTCGAACTCCGGTCTCTCGCTTCCTAGCCCGACTTCTTATGCACTGCTCCACAGTAACTTGCTTAGCGATAATTCAATGACGGTATATAAACAAAAAAAAACAGGTTTATAACAATATCTTGACGATTTGAACTGGCGCGCGGAGCGTGCTGACCAATAGGGCCTGTTATCACCTGTGACGTAGCGACCAACCTGCGCAATATCATACCTTGTATTCTTTGTACCATGAGTGGCATTAAAAACTTAAAAAGCTGTACTGTGAACTGCAAAAACCATCATGGATCGAGGCATAACGTCGGTTTCCAATGTTTCATTGGTATTTCATATATGTCATTATATAAAATAAAGTTTCTTGTATACAACACTCTGTATTTTATTTATAAAATTAAAAGAAAATCATAATAAATTTGAATAAACAATATTTCGTGATATAATTTCGGAAAAAGCCGAAACGCTCCGAAATTATCAAAAGCTTTGCGTCGCGACCGTTGCAAGAATAGCGCCAAATAGTATTTACATATTGTCCTTATGGGCACTTTCCAATCAAAACTTGCTTCATTTCTTCATCTATGCATGCGGTTTATAACGACAATTTGACTCGAAATGCCAACTGTGAGGTACAAAATTATTCGTAAAATAATGCTTTTTCCAAATATGCTAATGAGCCACCGTTGTTCCATTTGAAAAAATTGAAAAATTATTAAAAAAACGATTTGGACATTTTTTAACTGGCCAGAACAGATAGAGACGGGACAATAAACATTGGATGATCATCAATAGACATTGATTGGCAATACATCTTCAACACTTCGACTAGGTACCCTTAGGTCTATCACGCAGTAAATTGATTTGAAGATTTGAGACGCATAACTTTGCCAAACACCAACTCTATCAGACACAAATCTTTGAGAATGATCTTCAATTCAACCAGATGGAACTACTATTCTTACTCGGTAAATTTCACTTATGACATGACGATTCATAATCACCCTGAAAGAGGTATATCAGATATTCTTGGAGTAAACATTGTTTTTACTACAAATTTGATAATTTACAATGATAATCATTGACATTAAAGCAAGGTGATGCAAAACTTTTGAATTTATGTGTATTTACCCATTTATCATAATCAGCCGGTGTTCCCCTCATGTACATCATCCCATTAAACACGCTGGTTCCTCCCAGAACCTTTCCTCTAGGCCACGTGCAAATCCCGTCATTGCTCAAACAAGCCGAAGACTCGGTAGTGGTGTAGTTCCAGTCGATGATGGAGTTATAGAAGGCAGGAACGGCAGGGATTTGGCTTGCCGGTGGTTCGTCAATGCCCGCTTCTAGAAGGAGCGTTTTCCAGCCGGATATTTCTGCCAAACGTCCTGCGGCAGTTGATCCTCCGCTTCCTGCTCCGATTACGATGAAGTCGTATTCGGTATCGGGTTCAAGTTTGGGGACAACTCGTCCGCAAGGGTCGGCAATGTGACAAACGTATCTGTGAAACACGAGAAACAAATTTATATTGTTTTGGTGAATGACCCATGACGTTAAAAACAGTTGAATATTAGATTATTTAACATTCTCATGTATCCAAATATTTTTATGTACTTAATTCTTGGCTAATTTTATGTAGGTAGCTGTCAGATTAAAACGCTTGATTTTTTTATATTTAAGTGTAAGTTATTCTCTCCTTTCGCTCGAATTTTGACCGAGATCTACCACACATTTCACAAATATCTATTTTACAATCTTTATCTAGAATTCGCAATAAGGGCTCTAACTCACTGACGACCAGATCGCAACGACCTTGCCGTCGCGTCGGCTGGCCGGATGCATTGCGTTTATAGCTGCGGCCAGATGAACGACCAGTTTCAACAGAGTTGTCAGATCTAACAATTTTTTACGTTTTATCAATTAGAAAATATTGTTTCAGAAATGTTAAAATATCCCAGTTAACTAAAAAACGAAGTTGCTATTCATGAGCTTATTAAATGTTCTAATATTAAATAATGCATTTAAAATATTCTTGGATTTTTCGTTAATAAATACTGGTGTAAATGGAGTAAGTAAAATCTCCAACCCCGATTAAGTAAAATTCGTTAATAAATACTGGTGTGGTAAATGGAGTAAGTAAAATCTCCAACCCCGTTATTTCCATGTTTTTCAAATCCGCGATGCCTGCTATTCCATCAGTCGTTTCATAACAGAATATTCTACATCCTACGTCTATGTAATTTAATATGAATGTGTAGAGTGAGACATGTAACTCGAGAGATTTTCAGCATTATATCAATAAAGGACAAAAACAGTATTGTTTCTAAAGGTGCGTCTAGACTTGAGCATTTTAGCCCGAACGACCCGAGCGCGCACGAACAAGCAGAACAAATAGGCCGAACAAAAAGCATTTTGTACGCGCGACCGACAAAATGGGAGATATTCTGTTTCTTTTTTCTACTGATATGGACTTGGCTACAGATGGCTCTTATCGACTTTAGAAGTAAATATATTAGGGCCATCGTAAAAAAGGTCGTCAGACACTGGCTCTAAATATAAGCAGGTAGAAAGTTTAGCTTCCAGTTATTTCAATGTTTACAATATAAATTCCTCTTTTTTATTGTTACTGAGAATCTACAACAGTAATTACTTCTATTTTTATGATTGTTTAAGTTACTTTTACTCTTAATTTTTCTTAAAAAATAATGTACCTAGTAGAAATATAGTCTAATGAACCCTGTTTGAAAAACGTTAAATAAAATATAATATTTAAAATACAGTTGTCCTCCCTGTACATGACTACAATACAACTAAAAAAACTAATTTAGTAAAAAATAACAAGTGGTTGTAGAAAAACTTTAAATATTATTTTTTTTATTTTTTAACATCGAAACTCGAAGGTATAATAACAGGTATCATACCAACCATAAATAGAGTAGGTATGTCATATAAAAATGTTTTGAATTTTTACTAGAATCGACCCTTGATAAAAAAGGGACTAGATTTAAGTTTCCCTTTGATCCAGTATGTATGTATTGTATTTATAGTAGTACTATTTCTTTGGATTTTCTGCACGTGTGCAAAAACTACACTAAAACACTATATCTTATAGAAAATAAAATATTGTGCGTTGAATTTGAGGGATTTTATTTGAAAAATTATTAATTTGGAAGAAAACCGGCAACAAGCGGCAGAAAATAATAATATTTTAAGCAAAAAATAATAAAATAAAAGCAACGAAGAAAAAAGGGTAAACATTTTAGTATTTTATCTATTTAACACAATACAGAAGGTTTCACATTAATAGATTGACAGTAATTGAATTCCGAGGTAAAAGTCTCTGGGCACTCCACTAAAACGGTTTAACCATTTTAGAACAAGCAAAATTTTTATGAAGAATGCTTTTTTTCTCAAAATGTCAATAACAAAAGTCTTTCCTCTTGTAAAGACAATCAGGGGACATCTGTAGGTTATTTTATGTATTGGTGTTATTTTTATAATTATAAAAAAATAATTTTACCTGATGACGAAGTCGACTAAGGACATAAAAACAACATATTCACTTCCTGAACAAGTGTCGCCTATAGATGGAGCCACCCAAGCTGTTTCACAACCACAAGCCGAAAATGACATTTCTCACCTATGTGAATCAAATAACATCCAAACTAAAATGAAAATAAATAACACTATTAGAAACCCTTTATATAGATTTAATCTATATCAACTACTCTGTTTATACGACATGATATAACTTTTTGAGTGGACAAATTAGAGATTTTATCAATAAAACTTTAGATTTATCTATTTTTTTTTTCAAAAATTTAAAAATGACTATCATTTATCACTATTAGTCACGTTAGTTAGGACGCATGTTTCTGAAAAAAACAGATATTATGATATTAAGCTGCCGGTTTACGTAGTAGGGGTGGCCAAAAGAAGGGGTAGAATATGCAAAAAGAAAACAAATATTCGAGCGCGTCAAATAATAATCAAAAGGGATGTTAAGTGAACCCTAAAGAACCTGCTATTCAAAAGACTCACGATTTGGATTCGACTAAAACTCATGGAGGAAAAAATTCAATCGCAGTTTACTATAACATACATACATACTGCCATTACTCGTTGACGAGTATTCGACATGCATCAGAAGATGGCCACGAAAGGCGTTTTCTTTCATGAACTTTTCTGTGACTGAAAAGCCCGATACGTGATGTTATCTGCCTACCACACTCCGGACATTCAAAAATCTCATTGCTTTGTTGCCTCTTTACTTTTTGGTTGTCGCTGTTAACTGAGTTTTTCCATTGAGTTCTATTGTGGGATGCTTTGTCCCATTCATTCTGCATGTCAATCCCCTTTAAGTTTTCGTGGAAAATGTCCTTGTACCTTTTGAGTTGTCCACCGGGCCTCCTCTTACCATCTACAAGCTCACCGTAAAACAGAGATTTTGGTATGCGGTTTTCTTGCATTCTGCATACGTGACCAGTCCATCTTAAGCGGGATTTTGTAACCATGACTTCAATAGTCTCGCAGTTAGCTTTTTCAAAGGATCGATACGTTTGAGACATGATGGAACCACCGGATTCTTAAGAGTTGTCTAAGGTGTCTCTGTTGCAACTTGTTTAATGCGTTCATATGTCGGCGGTACGGCACCCAAGTTTCGCTACCATATAACATGGTGGGGATTATAATTGCTCGGTACACTGCAAGTTTCGCTCTTGTACTCAAGTCATGATTGTTGAAAACCCTGTCTTTTAATTTCCAGAATGCTCTTGGGGCACTGCTAATCCTGTGCTGAATTTCAGAGTCGATATTGGCCCTTTCCGAAATCAAACTGCTGAGGTAATTGAATTCCGCGATATATTCTTCTCCGATTTTTATAGCATTGTTGTGATCTTCCGTGGGAGTGCACATTATTTTGGTTTTGTCGATGTTTAGCTTAAGACCCAAAGCCTCATATGCCCAGGTATATGTGTTCAACATTTCTTGTAATTGTTTTAACGTGTTTGCAACTAGAGCGCGGTCATCAGCGTATTGAAGTTCTGTGATAAATTTTGTTCGTGTTTTTGTTTGAGTTTTTTATGTTGAACAGACCGCCGTCGTATCTGTATCTAATGCCCAATCCTCTCTCCTGCAGTTTGCTGTCCACCATAATGGAGAGCGCTGCCATCCCATATAATACAACACAATCCTATAGATATCTTGAGGATATCCACCAAGGATATAGTAAATATCTTAGGGATATCCAAAAACCAGAGGAGGATATTTATGGGATATCCAGATGGGACAAAAAAAGTCATCTTCAAGACATCCCTAGGCAAGTCTTTTACGATTATTTGGGATATTTCTAGGATAATACAAGGATGATGTTGGGAGCATTATAGAATATTTTTAGGACATTATATGAGGACTGTTATTTGACAATACTTACTTCATCCTTAGTTTATAGTAATGTTCGCGATTTAGTTTTATTTAGCCACATTTTGACGCTATTCATTGGATATTTTTATTAACAGCTCTAAAATACACCTGCATATTATGTCAATGAATTTTGCGTCAAAATTTATAAGTTTATTTGTATGAGTTAAGAGCTTTCAATTTATACTGTACCATCGAAAAAAAACGGCGTTCAATTGGCTTGAAAATTACGATCGATGCCATTCCCCATATAATTTTACGTACAAAATAACAGCTATCTTCATTTCCAAGCCACCTCTGACGCCATTATTTTTCGATCGTATGGTATTATACCAGATTATACCACTACCCTTTATGGAGTCTAGCAGTTTATGTCTAGCAGCAACAGTTTACATCAAAGTTAGCACACAGGATACAGGTATAATTTCTAACACCACACATTCCAGAAACTCACAATTTAAACCCAAAAATAGGATTTCTGTTTGAATAGATCAAACACGAAAATGGGTTTAGGGATAAAGAACAAGCGATTTTCAACAAATTTTCACCTATAATTGTGTCACAAATTCTTCATTATGAGACCCTGAGTTGTTCGTCGTTTTTCGACATTAGTTGAGGTTAGGATAGAATTTCTGCTAGAACAATGAGTATAAGAAAAAACTAAGTCAAACTCAACCAGTTTTGTTAGTTTCAGTCATTTTTAAGCCCATCCAATATCGACAAACGACCGAATTCACCTCGAATTTCACTAAATCAAAGAACTGAATAATCACAGAACAGTGTGAATAATACACGATGCAAAAACAAACCACTGTCGAGATTCGAGATGGATTGTGGGAAATTTTTTGCGCGGGCGTTTTAAATTCTCTCTATTACTGGGAGTGGCCAAGCTCATAAATATCCAGATTATCCAGAAGATACCAACAGGATATTTTGTTGCCTTGACGTAATATATATCTATCTGTATGGTTTATTGCATTTTATGTAATATAAAAAGTAGTGCATTATTTATTTTTCCTAAATATCTAGACGATATTGTTAGGATATTTTATTATCATGAGCATGTTTGGATATCTCAGCTGGATGTACATTAGATATACGACAGAGATATCCATAGGATATTCTATTCTGAGACATCTACAGGATTTCAGGATGTCTGGAGGATATCCTATAGATGTCTTATAGTCTCCTTATAGTTTACAAAATCACAATCGCAGCAAAATCGCAAATCGCTACTATTGTTTGCCTAATTGCCCTATATTGGTTGCCTAAACTGAAACTCGCAAATAGAAGAAATTGCAAGTGGCAGTTTCCTATGAGAGCCAATCGCAGGTTGCGATTGCGATTTTAAAACCGTTGCGATTAAATCGCAGTTTGCGATTTGATGCTCATCTCTAGTAATGATTCTTGTTCTGATTCTATTAACTACTAAACTACCTAAAAAAGTTAATCTCCCTACTAAAGCGAGTTAATTAATATTTAACAAACTGCAACTTACCTATAAGAGAGCGAAAAATTTATTTATATTATTTTGCACAGAAATAAAATTTTTTTATATAAATATATAAAATAGAAAACTTTCAGAAAAGCGTATTTTTTAGCAAAGTTATAAAAATAAACATATAGGTTTATATAAATTATTCACTAGTTAAAACCAAATTCTAAATTTAAATAAATAAATAAGTAATTGATTATGTTTATAATTTGCATATTGTTAGGTAGATTTTTACGCTTTTACCCCATTTTTACAAAATATAATGGACAATTTGTCTAAAGATAACTGTATATATACCATAATTAGCATAAGTGTTGTGAAACCTTTTTTTTTTAATTATAATCTACATAGTAAAAAATATACATAATTTTTGTTGTACCTCGGCTAGCAAGTCGTTTATCTTTACTGGTTTTATTTAGTTCTACTTTTCTGGATTAAAAATACAGTATGATCAAAAAGTTGTATATTAAGCGGGGACATACTTTTTAATTGCACAGTATATTTAATATCTATAGCATCCCTTTTAACGAAGCTTGTCGAAGCTGCAAGTACCCGAAAGAAATAGAAATGATCCTACGACATTTCCTAAGCTGCTAACTGACTTTGTATATGACCCTGAATCGTTTCCTCGGAGGCTACAACTTCGAAGATCTTTAAGATATTGCCGGGAAGAGCATAACGGAAGTCCTCAAACCTCAAAGCCACCGTATGGTTATAAGTGTTTATAACCATACGGTGCAACAATCCAATTGTACTATCCCTAGGGATAGGGTCTTAGAGTGAGTGTTATCAAAATGACAATTCTGCTAATTGGAGTTCCACAACCGGTCGTATTCGCTAATTTAACCAACCTGTTCAACGAGTGAATACATGACAGTGACAGTTTTTGTCTGACATTTTAATTCACAGGTTAATTGTATTTTTTGTCATTTTTCGAATGCCATCTGTCGAAATCTTTCCTGATTCGTTGGCCAGACTTTATCCACTAGAGACTGGATCATAAAAAGTTAATTCACTTGCTATAAATATATAGCTCACAATACATACAGTCATTCTGCTTGTTTTAATTATCTTCTAAGAGTAGAACAAATTCGTGAACTAAAAATGCAAGCCGTCATATTTTCTTGATCTATTCCACTGCGACTTTTTTAAATCTATTGTCCTCTGATTTCTAGATTACCTACATTATTCAGCCATATTCTTTTCAGCAAATCTAATAACTTGGAGAATGAACCGTCCATATAGCTCTTTTAGTCCAAGAGCTGGGAGTACAGTGAACTACCTCATAAGTTACCAGAGGTGTGATGCTCGAACTGCAACAGCGTAGCATTAGATACCTAGCATAAACCGCTCGTCTGCAGAATCTTCGCGGTCATCGTTGCAATATACAGGGTGTCCCATTTTAGTTGAAATCATACAGTATCTCCGCGTTATTAGTTAGTTAATTGAAGATAGAAGAATGCGGTTTGCACAAACCTGTCCCACGTTTTTGTCGAACGGAAGATGCTGTAAACAAAATTTTCATAGCCCTCTTCGTTTCTGAGCTACAGGGTCTTTTTCAAATTTTGGCAATTTGGGACACCACCCGTATCTTGTTACTGTAAAAGGTGTCGGGAAGGTGGAAACTGTTTCTTGTAGAACTTTTTACGTAGAATACAGTGGCGTAGTCTGTTTTTCTACAAAAAAAAATATTTTTGAAAATATGAACTAAAGTTTGGTTTGGTTTTGTTTGGAAAGTGAAAATAAATATAGCCAGATTAAATAATTTTTAAATATACAGGGTGTTCTATTTAGGAAAACATAACATTTCA